CCCCAGAAACCCCACATAGTAATAGCAAACTACTTGGTGATTATTTCCACACTCAAAAGGTACACAAAATGTACCTTTGTTACCATTAAAGTGTCAGTAGTTTCTCTCGCCATTAAGGAATGCTTCTGAAGTAATGCTTCTTCCAAGAAGGAAAAAAAAAACATGTGATTGTAGCAAAACCAGAAAATGTTAGACAGACCCAGGTTTCAAAGCCAGATTGTTACTAATCAACTTAACCTTCTCCACATCTTGCAAGCTTTTTTAAAAAGTAGCTGTTCCAATAGGAAAAGGGGGGGAGGGAATTCCCAGTTCCAGTGGAGAACTCCTCTAAGTTACATGGATCGCATGAAAAAAAGGGCAGGATATGAACCCCCTGTACTATATTGCTGCTAATCAGGATAGCAGAGCAGAAGGCTACAAGAATAATCAGCTTCCCTGGTAAGGCAGTTCAAAGAAGGGTCTGGCACTTGTATATTTCTGTCTTATGTTAATAAAATATCAGCAGCCCATCTACTGTAAGTCTAGAGCAGTGGTTCTCAACCTTTTTAATGCCGCGACCCCCAACCGGTCGTAGGTCGAGGACTAAACCGGTCGTAAGTCGAGGACTAAACCGGCCGTAAGTCGAGGACTACCCAACCGGTCGTAAGTCGAGGACTTTCCCTGCCCGAGAGCGCCGCGCATGCGTGGTTCCGCCCCCTGCGCCGGCCGAGGCGTAGCTGGCAAGCGGCAGAGACGGAGCAGGCCGACCACCAGCTGGCCCAGCTCAAGGGAGGTAAGGCACCCGCCGGAAAAGGGGAAAAAAATGGCGGACAGCCTTGCTTGGCGACCTCCGTGAAATGGTCGATCGACCCCAAATGGTTGAGAACCGTAGGTTGAGAACCGCTGGTCTAGAGAGTAACTTTCCACTTGAGTTTTGGAATAACTGTTGTGGAAAATTCAGAAGAACAGAGCAAAACCCATGTGAGCATGAGAAACCATGTTTATTGCAGTGATCATAACAAGAAAGAAAAACTCTGAACAATGGCTTTACTGAATGGCGGAATGCATCCAATGATAAAAACTCTCAGGGAAGCTTTTAAAAAATGATGCCTTCATAGAGGGCCATGTGTTTCACTGCTTTTAGCTCTGGGGTGAATTTGCTGGCATCTCCCCACCCTCCTCTTAGTCAAGTTGCATCTCTTTCACCTGCTTTTCACTGTGAAATGACTGGCGTATCTAATTTCATGATAATTGTAATCTATGTCCCAATATTAAAATCTTTTAAAGCTACTGTTAGCTGCCTTAAAAAATTGCCAAAATAGTAAGACAAGATATAAATTAAACTGTTAAATAATAAATTATATTATAATTCCTTGTGTGAAATTGTTAATGCTTTGTAAAAATTTGGGTACAATTGCAGGACATCAGAAATAAAAATTATAAACAAAATGGAATAACCCTATTCAAAAGGTGAGGTAGAAATTAGAATAATCAAATTAAATCCTAGTTAGATGTTTAATCATCGTAGCCTGTTGGAACATAGCACTGCCTTAATCCTACAATGCCCACTGAAATTAGAATAAATTAATTTAGTGCAGTTCAGCAGAAATCGCGTGCTTTGCATACAGAAAGTCTCAGGTTCAAATCTCAACATTGCTGGGAAAAGTCTGCAGTTGGTTTTCAGTCAGAGGTCTGCCAGGAGTCTTACTGTGTTAGCACAGCTGCAGTATTGCAGTACAGTATTGTATGTAATAAAAGTGCAGTGTGCAGAGGTTGGTGTAATATGTGAGTGTGCCGAATGAAAATCGATCTTTAATTCCCATATTAAAATAATCTGGAAGCTATAATGGGGAAGCCTGATTTTGGAAATCCAAAGGGAGAGTAGAAGTTTACACATGCAAACATATATATTAGCACAGAGGTCACCAACCTTTCTTGGTTGGTGGACCGGAAGGAAAGGGAGGGGAAAGAGTTTATATGCGTGCACGGGGCTATGAGCATCCACGTGATGCAAATGGTGTGGGGCTAGCTTTAGCTTGATACTCGCTACCCTGTCCTGTTCTTGCGTGGCACAGCACTGTCTGTTTTTGCACCCACAGCGTGGTATCGGCATCCTGTTTCCCCCAAGGCACAGCGGTGTCCCATTTTCATGCCCTGCAGTGTGGCAGTGTCCAGCAGCAAGGCGGTGTCCCGTTTTTGCGCCTGCAGTGCGGCGGTGGCATGCCATTTTCCCCCTGAGATGCAACGGCGTCCTGTTTTTGCACTCCGCAGTGTGGTGGCAGCCCGTTTTCATGTGCCACAATTGTGGCACTACAGTGAGTGCCGCAGCCCACAGGTTGGGGACCCCTGTATTAGCAGGTAGGAGCTGTGGCTAGGGTATCCTTTGTGCACCTTTGTACTGTGCATCAGTTGCACTCATTCCTGGCCTGCTCACAGTCACTTATGCCCTCATGACCCCCCGTCTATATTACTGCAATGCACTCTACATGGGGTTGCCCTTGAAGAATATTTGGGAACTTCAACTGGTGCAAAATAGAACAGGTAGTAAAAGATGTCTGTTGTTCAACACATGTAACACCGCTGCTTCGTGAGCTGCATTGGTTGTCAGTGTGTTTCTGAGTGCAATTTAAATGCTGGTTGTCACCTTTAAAGCCCTTTGTGGCTTGGAACTGAGTTACCTGAGATATTATCTTCTCCCAGGTTTCTTTTCATCCAGTCTGGTCCACTAGGATGGGCATGCTTGGGTCCTATCAGCCAAGGAATGTCAGCTGCCAAGGAACAGGAGTTATGCCCTTCCTGCTATTGCTCCTTCCCCTTGGAACATCCTCCTGAGATTAATTGGTTATCACCCTGATGGCCATTCATAAGGCCCTGAAGTCCTGGTTATGTACCCAGGCATGGGATCCTGAGTATATTAATAGCCTTGTTCAGTGGTGGGATTCAAATATATGAACAACCAGTTCTTTGCATGGATGCCGCTTCCGGAAGTCCATTCTGGGCCTGGGCAACAAAAAATTAGCTACCGGTTTTCCCGAACTGGTGTGAACTGGCTGAATCCTGCCACTGGCCTTGTTTCCCAGTTTGCTTTTTTTTTTTGTACTGTGTTTGTATTTGGTTTAAGTTGATTTTCTGATGGTTCACTGTCCGGAGTCGCTTGTTTGAGAGGGCAGCAGTAGACATGCAATAAATAAAATACATAAATGAACAGACACTGTAGGAGGAGAGCCAGGTTAGCAAAGTATAGTAGTAAAGTTTACATGAGCAACTGCAGCTCAGAAAAGCTGATGCCTTTTCATAGAACTTGTATGTCGGAAAAGGTGCTGACAGGTTCTCCCTGAGCTTTCGCACCCACGTGGACAGAACAAATGGAGATGGATTCTAGAATTTGTTGCTTTCGCCAGCAAGTGCCTCTATGTCTTGTTCTGGCTGTCAACCTCGATAAGCTGGACGTGCAGCACAGTGATCAGATTCTATTTCAGGGGTGTCAAACTCAATTTCATTGAGGGCCGCATCAGCATTGCGGTTGCCCTTGGGGGGGGTGGCCAGAGTGGGTGCGGCCTACTGGGTGGGCATGGATGGAATGGGTGTGGCCTACTGGGTGGGCATGGCCAGCTCTACATAATTCGCGTCAAGGGTGCCTGTGGGGGCCTGGGCAGGAGTGGAACAGATCTAAGGGTCTCTGGCAGAAGGGATGGGACCGGGGCAAGCGCCAAGGCACGGTGCATTTCTTCATTCCTCACAAAGGGTGACACCTTCCCAGCATGCACCCAGGGGGTGGGGCCGACAGAGCAGGGGCTGGTTCCTCACTGTTTCTAGACGGCCTTGTGGAGCTAAGACTGAATGCGTTTCAGCATAGATGGCCACCACAAAATTGTACATTGGCTCCTGGCCGGCCTGGGCCAGGGCCAAGAAAGCGGGGGCCGTTCTCTCACTGTTTCCAGGATGGCTTCGCGGGCCACATGAAACCACTTCGCGGGCCGCATCCGGCCCTTGGGCCTTATGTTTGACATGTCTGCTCTATTTGGTTCTTGTATTCATTGGGGAGTGGGGGGGGAGCAGATGGGGAGTGGGAGCTTCTCTAACCCTCCCCTCCCTTGGCTTTACAGGCAGTGGGCAAATCCAGCTATGGCAATTCCTCCTGGAGCTGCTTTCGGACCGGGCCAACCTCAACTGCATTGCCTGGGAGGGCACCAACGGTGAATTCAAACTGCTCGATCCTGATGAGGTGGCGCGGCGCTGGGGCGAACGCAAGAGCAAACCTAACATGAACTATGACAAGTTGAGCAGGGCCCTGCGCTACTATTATGACAAGAACATCATGACCAAGGTTCATGGCAAGCGCTACGCCTACAAGTTTGACTTCCAAGGCTTGGCCCAGGTCTGCCAGCCAGCCACGCCTGACCACACCTTGTACAAATTCCAGGCACCCCTTCCCTTCTCTGGCATCTCCAAACTCAACTTCATGGCTTCGGGAGTGACCCCAGCCAGTTTCTCCTACTGGCCGGGCTCTGCCCCTGCCCTGTACCCCAGCCATGGCTTGCAGGCTTCAACGCCCTTCAGCACCATGGCAACATCTCATATCAACAATATGAACAGCCATTACCACTAGACTTCATGTGGTTGCATGGGGTATGGTGAGGAGCTGGGAGAATAAAGTTTGACCCCTAAATTTCAGCCTAAGATATTTCCAGTGCAGAAAACGGAATATTTATCAGGTTCACCCACTGTGCTAAAACACAAGGTGGTTTGCCTGATTTTGGTTTCATGTAATACATGAAACCAACTAGCTATGGTTTGTACCATGGCACAATGTATCAATCCAGCCAATCCAACCCACTCAATAACGACAATGAAACAGGCCATGGGTTAGGGCTAAGCAGATGGCTGGATCTAGCTATTTTGTAAAGTGGAAAGAGAAAATTTATTGAGACAGGCTGGATCTCAGCACAGGAGCTGGGTCCACCCAGAGCCATTTTGGAATGGAGTCTCACCCCAATGAATCCATATTTTCCAGGGAACATTTCAGTAATTTCCCTATTTTTTCATTTACTAAAACCCACAATGCATTGGAGTGATTCTTGTACTTGGAACTTTTGGAATTGTGAAAATGTGTACAGCCCCTCCCCCCTTGCAAAGTCACATACATGCAATCACACATCCTAAGAGACTGATGGAGAAGCCTTAGCACCAGCAAGATATTTTACTCTGAGACAGGTTGGTGACAGTGATATCTATTTTAGCCTGAATATCTCTGGGTAAAATGGACAAAGCTATCTCTGACCATGCTATTATAATCCACACAGATAATACACAGTACTCTCAGTCGAGCATATACCATAACTTGGCTTTCAGTTGAATCAGAGCAAGAGATCTACCAAACATTGGTCTGGAGGTCAACGTCTTCTTACAAAATTCAAATTACATGAATGTTTTTGATTTTCTCAACCCAGCTCAATTTCTAAAGAATAACCAGTTCTTTAGGGCCTGCAGTTGTGTAAAATGGAAGAACATGCCCTACATCAGGGGTATCAAACTGCCGGCTGCATCATGCGGAGGCCGTGCCCACCCCAGCTCTGGCAATGAGAAAAACGTGATACGTTGCGACACATCATGTGATGTGGCGAATTTGACACCTGTGCCCTACAGGGTTATAACTAGAATGATCTACCTTCCTTCTCAACAAACAAACAAAAGTTGTCCTATTAAACAGGGTGCAAAGGGTCCACCCTGAAGTACCCTCAAATAAATTACTTTTTAATTAGGATGCAACCGTTCTTACAGATAAACATAATATTTGTAGAACGGAAACGAAAAACAAGATTCACTTAGAGTCAGTCTTTAAACTTTCCCAATCTGTCGAAGTTCATACTTTTCCAACCACCAACCGTTAAAGGATAGCCTAGGGTTTTTCAGTGATTAAGGCTCCCGGTTCTTCACATGTTCATTTTTTTTAAATGCTAGAGATATGATTATTTTTTTTTGTAAATTGATCCGGTTCCTTGGACATTATTATTCAAACTGTGATCTTGCTGTTGTTTTTTGCCTTCTGGCTTTGGATTATGACCTTCGCCTTCATAACACCATCTCCACTGCTTCCATTCTTAGGTTGATTGGCATTTACATATTCACACTGTTTCCCGTGATGTAAGATAAAAACACTGTTCCAGGTTTTTGTGTGTGTATATATATATATGTGTGTGTGTGTGTGTGTGTGTGTTGGATGGTTGAGGAGAAATTACATTAAAAGATCTACTCTGAATCATTTAGAGATTAAATTGCAATCATAGCCATGAATTTACACAGTACCTGTCATTCCTTTAAAAAAAAACTCAATTCAAAAAAGGCAGAACGGTAGTGATTTTTTTTTTATAAATAACACCAGTGTGATATTAAATGCAGGTCAAGGGAACAGAAGAATTCTCTTTGTGAATGCCTGCCCCCACACACCATTCCCCAGCACAAAATAGTACTGTCACGGTTCCGACAGATGAAACTCTTTAAAAGAACTTCGAGGCATTGTTTACCTTAAAGAATCTTTTATTCGAGAAACAAAATATCAGCACTACATTGTTGTTGTTGTTGTTGTTAGTTGCGAAGTTGTGTCCGACCCATCACGGCCCCATGGACAACATTCCTCCAGGTCTTCCTGTCCTCTACCATCTTCTGGAGTCCATTTAAGCTCACGCCTACTGCTTCAGTGACTCCAGCCACCTCATTCTCTGTCGTCCCCTTCTTCTATTGCCCTCAATCTTTCCCAGCATTAGGCCCTTCTCCAGTGACTCCTTCCTTCTCATTAGGTGGCCAAAGTATTTGAGTTTCAACTTCAGGATCTGGCCTTCTAAAGAGCAGTCGGGGTTGATCTCTTCTAGGACTCACCGGTTTGAACACCTTGCAGTCCAGGGGACTCGCAGGAGTCTTCTCCAGCACCATAGTTCAAAGGCCTCAATTCTTTGTCGCTCAGCCTTTCTTATGGTCCAACTTTCACATCCATACATTGCAACTGGGAAAACCATGGCCTTGACTATACACACTTTTGTTGGCAGGGTGGTTAAAGCCAAAAACTGAATTCCCCTCCCCTAGGCACAAAGTAGCAAAGCACAATTCCCTCCTCCAATTAACAGTCATAAATCACATTCCCCAATTAGCTTGAAGCTTGGGCTTTCTCCCCAGCTCTCCAGCCCGGCCAAATTTTATCAACTCTGGGCGCAATCACCTTGATTCCCATGGCTGAGTTATTGTTGTTATGACAAACTGGACTCTCATCCACATCCCCCCTCCCAGTATCATCTGACTCTAAAAGCGAAAGAGGAAAGATGGCTACATTTCCATCTGTTGTCAAAGCAAGAACATCCGATGTTAGCAACGTTGACAAGTACTGGATATAAGTCCCACTCCCATGAATGAAATTACATTTATTTCTGCTTTGGTTTTGCTTGATCCTACTGTGCCACCTGCAGGACCAGGACAGAGAAGCAGCTGGGCAAGTGCCTTCAAAGGGCTAAGTCCTTACTTCTGCCATGGGGCTTCCCTTTGAGGAAGAGGGGCGGATGCTAAGAAGGTCAAGGAAGAGTCCTCTTGCTTTTTATAGCAGGCCAGGGAATGGGCTGAAAGGGGAAAGAAAACCGGGACCAGGAGCCTTTGGGAATTAACACTGGCCCTTGTTGATTATTAGACAATGTCAAACCCTGATTACTGGCCTCCAAAGCACATTGTAGAGGCTTTCATCTTTCTCACAGCTGAAATGCTTCCCTCAATAGGCTCAACAGTATCTCTTAATTGCACGACCAGTTAGCTTATACTCTTGAGCACTTTTCTCATTACCATTTCCAAGTTAGATGTCCTTCCGAGGCTTTTCGGCTCAGGCAGAGTCAAGGGTGCCTTTCAAGGGTGTTAGAATCTGACTTCTGTCTCCATTCCCAAGAAGTAATTTCCTTCCGAAGTCCCAGAGTAAGAAGCCCTGTTTTGGAAGAAGACGGTGTTCTTAGAAATTTAATGGTTAAGTAGATTAAAAGAAGACATCCCTGCGGGCTTAAGTAGCTTGCCATCCTCATCTACATGCCTATCCAAAATATAGGACACCGTGTCTCCTGATTATTTGTAAATAATTGAGTGCCAGAGTCAATTTCACAACCCTTTGAATGAGCCTTGTTCCATACCATATGGTGGGATTCATCTACTGCTTATCTAACCTCGCTTGGACCCATTTGGATCCTTTGCAACTCGTCTGACCCTTCCTTGCTGTTTTTGTTTGCCCGTCATCTCCCCTAGAGGATTCCCCAGACGCAACTCTGCAGTGATGGTGCCTTGAATTTACCATGGTCTTCTCTCTTCATTTACCATACTGTGGCTTCTGGCATGTTTGATAACTTCTCCAGTGGACACTTTCCCACAGTCACACTGGTGATTGGGAGTTGGAATCTCTTTCCTTTTTGACAATCCCTGGAAGGCAATGCAGAAATCCATCTACCTCAGAATTGTGGGGTTCAAAACTGGCAAGCAGTCTGGACCCTTTTTTTTTTAATGTTTTCATACAGATTCCAGTTGCTCTAAACCAGAAGGCATTCTTCTAGGGAAGCAATGTTGGGGTTTTTTATGCATGCTTGGAAGCAAAAACAATTAAACCATGTATTTCACATGCTCCTTCTTTAGCTTGCCACCACCAACACCTTAAACTGCTTCCCCTCTACTTTTTAAATGTTTGTTGAAGTTTGCGGTGCCGGTAGGTCTACTTGGGTTCAGAATGGCTTGTGTATTGCCAAACATTTTGATTGTCCAGCAGGGAGCAGTAGTGCCACATCGCTATCCTCCTCCCTTTCTCCCCCAAGATATTATTAAATTGTGACAAATTCCAGATAGTAGCATCTCTGCATCATCATCATATAAAAAAAAAGTTAAAAGAATGTGGATCTATCAATAAAAATAAACCTGCTGGATCAGCAGGAATGAAGACCATTTAAAGATTAAAAGGATCCAATCTGAGTGTGCGTAATGGGCTGGGAGAATAATTTTGAGGAAGAGGAAGAATGGCATTTGAGCAAAGCATCTCAGAGTTGACCCTTCCTGGTTCTCTTTGGGATCCAGGCAGGGAGGGGAGAGGTACATCCAGAGTTGCAAGATTCTGATACTGTAATCCTATAATAAATGTAGTTTTACTATTCGTGATTTTGATGTTCAACTCTGGTCTGCGTCGAAGAGTTGATGTCAGTCTTGCAAGTCTGAATGTGCCTCCCCTCTCCCTGCCTTTATCCTAAAGAGAACTATGGATGGTCAAGTCTGAGATGCTTTCTCAAATAGAAATCAATCAATCAATCAAATAAATAAATTCTGTTCTTCTTCTTCCTCCAGGTTATTCTCACAAACCATTATAGTATGATTCTATGGGCCTACAGATGGATGGCTGCTATAATACTATTCAAAGATGATTCTAGTTTTGGTCCTAAATGATTTTTTCCCTGTAGGTATGTGTTGAATCAGAATTAGAAATAAAAGATGACATTCCTGGGATGCCCCATTCTCTGAGTTCCACACAAAACTCTCTGTTTTAAGTAGGGCATTACCCTATAAAAGCTTTGTCTCGTTAGGGGAAAAACAACAACAATGTATTGCTTTTTTCTGGCATTCCATGAAGATTAAAAGTAGTGCTGTACATATAAAATCCAATTAGCTCGTTTAAACTAAACTGA